ATACAAAGGGGGCGGAGCTTAAAACTTGTACTGGAATCAGCCAACAGGGAAACAAGTCCTGTTCTGGTTTCAGCTTCCTGATTCTGAACCGAGATCTACCTGAATTCCCAATTTATGATTAAATTAGATTAGATTCAACAAGACATAACTGTGTCCTTTAGCATACATCAGGGTCACTATAGCGCCCTACGCACCCCAGCTTCCCCCAGCCTTGGATGCTGTTGTTTTATCTCATCACAATACACCAGTTTACAAACTATCTTAGTTTGATTGAGTTCAATTTCCACATTCTAGCTGATAATTTAAGTGTTTTCTGATGAAACAAAATGAACTGAACATAAAGTTATCTCAGTATTTAAAAGTGAGTTTTGTTCATTAAATGCAGCCGTGGTCAACAACATGTCTCTTGTTTCACTGTAAGAGGCTCATTTAAAGAGGGTTTGCTCGTGGTGAAACTGCTTATAGTTGCAGTTTGGTACAAAAAAAAGCTCATTAATCAACACCAGGAGTCACCTGTGCCCCTAAATCTGAAATAAAACAGTCCAAGTGCAACAAACTAAAAAAAACAGAGCACTAAGAGCCACCAAAGCCAAGAGTTAAAGACCCATGTGCTTAAGTTTCTTAAAAATGTCAACTGGATATATACCTCGCCATGATGGCTCCCTACATCAACAAACCACTTGTCTGGTGTTGCCTTTTGTTCCTGGGACAAATATCTGAGCCGTTTCACCTCCGCTCTGCTGGTGGTTTGCTTTCTTCTTGATTCGGGCGTCCAGGTCTCTGTGCACGGAGGCTTCGGTCCGGAGCAGCGCAGAGACGTTAAAACGCTCCGACAGCTGAGTCGGTGCAGCTACGAGTGGAGAAATGATGCCTCTGTAGAAGAAGAAGTGCTCTCCAGTGGGCCGTTTTCGACTTTGTCTTCCCAATTTATTGTGATCCAGACTGTAGGGAATCCTAACGGATGCCACGAAAGAATCGATGATAAGAGAACCTGTTGGTTTCATTGATTTAAACGGATCTAGTTGGTAAAAAACTGAAACACAGGAGGGTCTGCTGCCGAGTCGCCACAGCATGACGGCCCAAATTTCACTCATAACTTTGGAATAATCTAAGAAATAAAACCGTTTAGTGCAAGAACTAAAACTGCTGCCAGTTTCTCATTATGATCGCCATGGTAACCACACACCTGTCGCTTACTCCCTTCACTGCAAACTTAACAGAGGTGGGCAGAAAACACCTGAAAAGTAAGCCTCGTATGAAAAGTCGCTGTGCAAAAACTACAAATTGTTTTTTTATTTTGTTTTTTTGTCTGAGGCGGCGCAGACGGACAGATCCTGGTGAGTGGAGGAAGCAAATTTAATCCAAGACCTGGCGCAATGGCAGAGCCAGGGGGTGGCCAATGGTGGCCTTGGCCATCCTCAGTTAATCTTCCACCACCCCAAGACCACCCAAATCCTTTGAAACTATACTTTTAAACAATACAAATAGTAGAAAGCATAGTTTTCTCAAATGATGGAGGTTCACAACGACTGCTTCACTGAAGGTTCTTAATGACGTTGTTGAAGCACTGGATGCTAAGGATTATTGTGCTGCACTTTTCTTAGACCTGTCTAAAGCTTTTGACACTGTGGATCATAACATCTTGTGTCATAAACTCTCAGAAATCGGTTTCTCAGAACACACCATTGGTTGGTTCTCTAACTATCTCTCAGACCGGAGGCAATGTGTTCAACATAATGGTACTTCCTCCAGTTATTTAACAAACAATGGTGTACCACAAGGCTCAGTCTTAGGACACACCCTCTTTACAATTTACATACATAATGTAGGTCTTAACATCCCTGATGCATCCATACATTTCTACACTGATGACACAGTTGTTTATTGTCGAGCTAAAACAGTTGATGAGGCTTTCCAGCTTTTGAATTCTGCATTCAACATCATCCAGACTGATTTGTTCCACCTCAAACTTGTCCTAAATGCCGACAAAACCAAAGGGATGCTTTTTTCAAATAGGAAGTTGGTCCCAGCAGTTCTTCCTGATTTCATCCTCAAATGGTGTCCCCCATTGAGTTTGTTGATCCCTATAAATATTTGGGTATCTTGGTCGACTCGCATCTCTCTTTTAAGCTCCATGTGGAAAACTTGGTAAAGAAACTGAAAGTTAAACTGGTTTCTTTTTCAGAAACAAATCCTGTCTAACCCTGAATGCTAGAAAACACCTTGTATCTGTGACTTTCCTTCCCTCCAGTGATTACGGTGACATTATTTACATGAATGCTCCTACAAGAACCCTGCAGATGTTGGATGCTGTCTATCATGGTGCACGAAGATTCATAACTGGCTGTGATTATCGTACCCACCACTGCACCCTGTATTCACTGGTTAACTGGACATCATTAACTTCACGCAGACTCTCTCACTGGTACATTTTCATCTTTAAATCACTTCTTGGTCTGCTGCCTTCATACATCTCCTCCTACATGTCTCTGCGTGAGTGCAGCTACAGCGTGCGCTCTCAGGACTTTATTACCTGCAGTGTTCCCTCAGTGAGAACTGAACTAGACAAAAGGACCTTCTCCTACTCCGCTCCTGTTTCCTGGAATATCTTACAAAAAGATCTGAAGCTCTCGACCTTGACCTCTCTAAGTGTCTTTAAGAATCTGTTGGACTCCTGGCAGGGACCAATGCTGACATGTTCCTGTTTTTAGTTTTATACATTCACCTTAGAATCTAGATGTTTTTTGTTACTTTTTTTGGCCATCTTATTTGTTTAAAAATAAAATAAAATCTGTATGCCTTTTTATAACTGTCTATTGTTGTTGCTGTTGTAAATGAGTCCTCGGGGTTCAGTGGGATTTACCTGTCTAAATAAAGGTTGAATGAATGGTTAGTTTACATATATACTGTATATTTATATATATGGCGGTGGCCATTTTGAATTTTGACTTTTCCTCTTTTCTATAAGCCTGGAGGTAGCTACACATTAAAGTGGACTTCATCACCTCCCTATTTGTTCAGGTTATCATGTTCATAACAAACGGACAGATGGAGGGGACTTCCCCTCTTTGCTTTGCAGAAAGTTTGTTTGCAAAAAGATTTTAAAAATATCCCACAACTTAAAAGGTAGCTTGAACATTCTGTGGATGAATGTGTATAAAACTATCAACTTCAACTGTGATTGTGTTGAAGCTGTGAAAGATATAAAAATGTGAGTTCAGACATAAAACGTCCGTATTTCTGTGACCCGTTTAAACTTTGAATGATGGTTCAGCTGTGAAGGATGTCTGAAGTACGGAGCTCCAAACAGGGTTAGGTTTTCTCATCCATCCCATTGAAGTGTATGTAGAAATATCTCAGTTTTGTTTTGTTTTTGCACATTTTCCTTGTCAAACGTAGCACTGCCAAGAGAAACGGCACCTTTTTCCCCATTGAGCCGCATGATTTTTTTAAGTTGTAAGCAAAAATATGGCGACTAACACCAAACAGAATAGTAGCAAAGGTGCTTCGATGCACAGGCACCTGAAACTGCCCCCCGCTGCCCTAGGGTTAAAGAATCTGAACAGAATCAGAATTATTGCACAGTTCACAAAATAACTTTCTGTACAGCCGTCCTAAAGATGGACGGAGGTGTGCAGGGGCTGCAGCTTCTAAGAAGCGCTGCTCTTATTGCTTAGATAGAAAAAGGGAAGACGCATAAGGAGAGAGAGGTATAAAAAAATAAGATCTCTCACTCCGTGTTCTTAACAGGGCACGGTTTAAGGAATCAAAAACATCTAACACAGCAAGCAACATAGACACAATACATGCATGGACGACAAGATGGTGAGATTTGTCCATGAGCACTTCCAGATAGTTTCCATAGTCCTGATAAGATGTTGGTGTCTCTCAGCTGGTATGAGTATCCACGACCCATGACATGATTAAAATGACCCATGAGCCCTGGGTTTTAACACTGAGACCTTGTGGGTCATTTGGACCCAAGGGCAGCCATCTTGGATGGATAAATCGTGATCATGGCCAGTCCACGAAGGCAAAGTGAGAATGTGCCTCCTTTTTCTCTTCAGATCTTCATCCACATGCTGCCGCCGTACCTGGGCATGCTGCGGCCTAAGGTGGAAACCCCGCTGTCCCTGGAGGTCATGCCCCGCCGAGAGAAAAAGATCATCACCATCAGCAAAGTGGCAGACGAGTACTTCATCCGAAAACCCGACTTGTCCATCTTGTTCCCGAAGCCCAACAGGTGAGGAAAGGTCCAGCTCCAGAGATGGACATGATGGGTTTGAGTTGTTCCTGGAGGGGGGGTTGAGGTAAACTGTAAACAAGTGCATGTAAAGATTCAACAGGGGTGAGCAATATTTTTTCCCAGAGGGCCAAATCAAGATATTTTGGAATTGTCGTGGTTAAGTCGCACATATTCGACGTGGGAATATCAGGGGTTCAGGGTTCAAATCCCGGTGCCAACCTCCGAGCAACCTTGGTTACACTTTGAGCGAGATGAGTCCATGCCAGCTCGGACATCGCTCAGGTTATCAAGTTCTGCGTCAGGTGTTGAGGAACACGATGAGAAACGGACTCCACAAGTGCAGAGAACTTACTGTGACACAAGGGCATGAGAAGGAGCTGGGAACTATGGAAACTGTGATGCACATCTCTCCTAGATGTTTAATGTTCACTCTTTATACTACATGTCGTCTTAAACGAGACGAACTGACGGAAAGTCAACTTGACGTCTCGACACCAGGCGGTGTTTTTGTCCACGTGAGTCTTTAATGTAGTCCCGAGTTTTCAAGAATCTAAAAATCAACCTTCGAGCCAGTTTGTTGGGATGTTCTGACAGAACCAGCATGGAAGAACACATTTCATGAGTACTTTCTAACTTTTGGATTAAATGGTTCAAACCATCGACGATTATTATTTTTTACTTTTTAATATTTTTGCACTTAAAGAAAAATCACGAGTATTTTTCACAGGTAAAAGTAAAAAAAAACGTGACCACGTGGCACCAAGTGAAAATGTTCCATAATCACGTGATTCACATGTCAACGTGATGTTTTTAAATATAAAAACGTGACTTTTCTACATGTGGAAGTCTTTTCTTTGTAACTTACATAAGAAATGTACAAAAAATGTTCTTTTCAATTTAATTGACGAATTTTATTTTATTTATTTTACATGTGAAGGTCATTCTTTTTCTAAATTCAAGTCAATAAAAAAACTTGAACATGTATTTTTTTTGTATTTTCACATGTGAAAAAGGGATTCTATCACATACATTTAAACTTTTGTTCCAAATTTACATGCACATATACCTGAATTTACATAAACATATTTTGCGTTTTTTAAATTAATTTAATTCATGTTAAGATCAAAAGATTTATTACAAATACATGAACTTTTTTTTGTTTGTTTTTGTGCATTTACTAATGTGAAGTTTGTGGTTTTGTACCAGATTTACATGCGAAACGTTCAACGCTTTTTCACACATGAAAGCTTTTTTTTCCACATGTGACTTTGGCATGTTTTTGTTCCAAACTGAAATTAAAAATTGGGTTTCACATGAAAACAATTTAAAATTTTCACATGAGGAAAACCTGATTTTTCCAGTTGTCACCTCAACGTCATTTATTTAACCTCACATAGGAAATGTGTCGAACTTTTTTCACATGTCCCGAGTGGAAACCATGTTTACATGTGATTTCCATGCGAGCTTCATGTTTTTTCCATCTTAGTTGTGCCGACATGGAAGGCTCTTGTTGTGTCTGTGTTTTAAACTTTAAATTCTAACTCCTGTTCTGGTTGATGGTTTCCATCAGAGGAATATATTTTGGAGAAAAGATGAAACGTTTCAACGAAGAAGAACCCGTCCAGATGTGTCCGCCTGGATTACTGAGCAGCATCAGGATGTTTCCATCAGAGGTTTTCTGAAGCGCTGCTCCTGAAGCCGTTGAGTAACGAGCTGGGTTCGGGCCGGTGTTGGTGCTCCGAGGGGTAGTTTGCTCTCCTACAGAACAATGTGACCTTGCACCATGGAGGCATCCTAACGCTCCAAAGTTGTCCTCCTGCCGTGCAGCTGTCCCCTCAGAGTTCCCCCGAGAAATAAAACATGTCTGACGGGAAAGAGTCGCCGCTGAAATAATAATGACCCGCACAAATTGACTCTGACACGTTTGAGTGGGACGCTGCGTGAGAGCGTGTGTGTCAGAACACTCTGATGAGGCAGCATCATCTTCCAGCAGCTCGTTTATACTCGCTCACGTGCACCTTCTTAATTGGTTTAGTGCGAGTCTTGGCACCGGACGTGACCGGTTTGAGTTCAGATTAATTGCCTGAACAGTCGTTTAGCCCTCGCCGATGGAGCTTTGAGTCGTAGAAGAGGGGGCTGAGAGGTTCTGAAGAGAAACTCGGTCTCCCCCTCCATCGTTTCCCGTCTTTTCCTGCCATTCTGTTTCCGTTTACCTGCCGGGGCTTCACCTGTTCACCTGCCGAGCTCAAGCTCACAGCTGTGGCAGCAGATCTGCTTCATAAACTCCTGACTTCGTGCACAGAATATCAAACAGCTGTTTGCTCTGAGCTGCCTGCAGCACGAAGCCACGGAGCAACACCACCCCCTGGTGGTCACACTCACACACCGCAGCTCGATTCAACCAGACACTTTCTAAAATCTTATCACTACTTTTTATGTCTTTCCAAACACTTTCCATCTGTATATATTGGCTGGATTCATCATCAGTTTGGACAGGATAATGTATTTTAAAAATCTGACTGATGTAGAAAAATATACAGCTGAGTGTAGCTTGAACTTTGAGGCCTTACAGAACGAAAACTCTTTGGCTTTTAGGAAGGCTGCAGTCGTTTGTATCACAATAAATAAATAGATAAAAGTTTGTTAGATTTTCTGAACATGTTCATGTCTCAGAATCTACTGGATGAAGAAGAATTTTTATTATTATTTCTTGGCTGGTGGCCCATTTTTCTATCTTATACTACATTGTGAGGACCAGCTGCTCCTTATGGGGCCCAAAGCCCAGTCCCCATAAGAAGAAGTGTCGTTGGTGGGTTAGGGGTTAGGTTTAGGACTAAGCTGTGAAATGAGGATGGGTTAGGTTTAGTGTTAAGTATGTGCTATTAATGGTTAGGTTTAGGATAAGGGTCAAAGTTAGGCTATAGAAATGAA